AAAATGTATCTTTGAATTATTATCAATAGTACTGAAAAAATGGAATAGCTGTTGTTATATGTTTATCAGTTTCGGGTAATAGATTTATATTGTAGCATTTTGAAAATTAAATTGAAACGATTATGCTTTTAGCAGTGACTGCAGCTAGATACGTATATTGAAATACTGGGGGTTAATGGTAACTTAATAATGGTAACTAACCAATCATATCAATATGATTGAAAATAAGATCATTAATAAATTAAATTCACATCGTTTATCTTACTTAATTACTTTATGTTTTTAAACCTGTATATATTTTAAAATGCTGTATTATTGTATTTAATGTTTGAATGTATTGATGGTGTTACATAACTACTTATTATTAAATGATGTTGGAAAGTTTATCTAAGTGCATTCATATTGGAATTTGATATGTTCTTGATATGATCTTTTACCATGTCGAGACCTTGTAAACATGGTAACTGCTCTTTTTTATATACAATATATACATTGACCAACTTACTGAAATACACATTTGTAATTTATTAATAAGAATGATACATTGGAAATTTTGAAAAAGTCAATACAATATATGTAAAAATTAATAAATGTTTTGTAACAATCATATAAGTGCTTATTATTGACTATCTCCTGTTTATATAAATGTTCAGTAGTGAACAATTCAATATCACACAGGATTCTGGAAAATTCCTGAATTCATTCTTTACTTACAGTATACTGTATATAGATGATGCTTTTATCTAAAGCAATGAACAGTTGTGCTAATTTATAAACCAAGGTATTTTACTGCAGAAACCCAAGTGCCTTGATTATGTGAAAGAAGTGGTGCCCACCCAGAATTCGAACTTTCAACCATCCAGTTTACTGTATACGCATAGAACCCTAGTCACTTCGTCTACAATACATCTGGGTTCAAATGCAAACTGACCAAACTCTGTACAAAAGCAAAATAAGCCCCAGCTCACTGACTGCTTAAAGTACTCATAGAAACAGTCTAGTAAAAAGATATTACTCTGACGTATGGAGGGGACTGCTACTTAATACCACCTACACTCAGACAATCTACAGACAATGCTGACATATAGGGAGAGGCAGGCATAACTTATATACAGCAGTAGGCTGTTTTCTAATCCAAATGACAAAAGAGAACCCAAAACCCAAAAGAGATTTTTTTTTTTCATTTACATTCAGTTATAGAAGACAAGAAAACTATTGTCCACGTCTTTCTTAGTAAGTCTTTGGCGGCCCCTAGTGTTCACCCTATAGTATCGCACGGGAAGATGAAGTGTATTGCAGTTTTTTTTAATTTGCATTGTACCAGATGACCTGTGCTTATAGAAAGTTTTCAAGAAAGCAGAAAAGAGAACAGAAAAAGAATGTTCTGAGTTATAAGTACAGCTGAAAAAATCCTTTAGAACTGGAGAATTAGATAGAGACTGGAAAAAACCCATTGCAATAGAGGCAAACTATTTATTTCAGTGTTATAACAGGAAAAAATGTAAATATAAAATAAGAAGTAAATAGTTTTCAAAATAGGAGATGTGTATTACTGTACATCAGAAGACGTCAAATACTTGCACAATGTTATAGAAGGAGGTCTATTAGTATTATCACTATTTGGTAAATTTAATAGTACTACACCAAGGTTGTACTGGAGCTACATTAGTGTGGCTGAAAACTAATAAGTCACCAGTGTCTGATTGGATTTCTCTGTCAAAACCTAATGAAATAAGATATGTTATTCAAAGGAACAAGTAAAGGTTTATTCCTGCTGAAAAGAGAAGAAAAGAAACACAACATTTTAGCTGTGGAGCCTTCTTCAGGTTCCGTCAGGCCCCTGAGCAAGGCCCTTAACCCAACCTGCTCCAGGGGCACCGTATAAATGGCTGACCCTGTGCTCTTACCCCAAGCTTCTCTCCCTGTCTGTGTGTCACATGGATGTTGGGGTATGCCAAAAGACAAATTCCTAATCTAAAAATTGTATATGGCCAATAAAGTGCTCTATCTCTCTCTCTCTATCAATGGCATTTAAGAGGTAACCAACATGGATTTTGTGTTCAAAACCTGAAAGGTTCCTGGTTCATGTACAAGGCATCACTCATTCTCCCTGTTGCTTTCTTGTCTCTACTGCTGTATCTTACATCCAGACAGCTATCTGTCTTTTTCAAGGTCTAGAATCATTGGATTACCAGTCCAAAATGGAATCAGTGAAGTCTGAAAATTAGATGGGTTAACAAAGTAACAAAAATGCAATTAAAACTGCATCCACAGTTTACTTATAGAACATTAGATGAAATATCTTTGTGAATTCAGAATGCCTGGCAGATTATTCCAGGGACCTGGTTCTCCTAATCAGAGAACTGGAAAATATGTGGAAGGTCAATGTCTTTGGATCTGCAATTTACTCTTTAAAACTCCTGCACCCCACTGAACTGCTGGCAGAGTGTTAGACTCCTCCTCCATTTTCCAGTTCCACTGCAAATTGCTCAACTGGTATACGCTTCTCAAAAAAAAATATTTTCTGCTTGTATTTGCTTGTCAGGTGTAAAGCGAACAGAAGACGGCAAAATATCCCAGATGTCCCTTGCAGACAGTCTATTGGTTTGGGGTGGAAGGTTCCTAAATTAAGATTTAAGGTACTGAATTTACACATGACAAGGTAAGCCTTAAAATGTTTTCTCAAGTCTGCAGAGCTGTAGTTAAAGTTTCATTGTTTTCTGATTTTAATAACAGCAGATCACTGCTGTGCAAGTCTTTGACACATTTTTGACAGTTTTTGCCTTATTCTATTTTTGTCACTCAGATTTCTTTCCATCTTTATCCCAAAACATAATGCTGGGTTGTCTTCTCCTGAGACTTTACCCACATTAAGTTGTATTAGTAACAGTCAAAGCTCTATTAGTACTAGATACTGTAGCACTAGTGGTACTAGTTTGAGAGGATTGTTGCTGTTAATCCATATATTTTAAATTCTGTTTGTCTACAAGTTCTAAGACTTATGCACAGTAGTTTACCTAAGTATGCTATCCTATTACAAATATGATAAAATTGCTAAAGCATTTAACAAAACAACTATTTAATGTACACAATGTGCTTCTTTATCTTATATCAATTTCTCCAATGCAATGTACAGTACCTGGTTCAGATGCTATATCATGGTAAACATTTTACATCATCATATGTGTTTACCTGCTTCCTTATCTGTGATAATTTTTAATTGGCATTGCTGATTTTTACATATATACAAATGCCTATTTTCAATGACTGGCAAGCTTAAAGAAAGCATGTGAAAACAATATTTACAGCAGAGGTTTTTCAAAAAGATAAGCAGAGATAAAATTCTCAATTACTCTTTTCTGTCTTAAAAAACGAATAAGATCCAGGTTTATTGTAGGATATCCAATTTATTCAAAATACAAAGTGATTCCTTTCTGATGAGAACTGGAAGAATCCACAACTGATTCTAGTTGTGCCAGATGACCACCTGCCAATCTAACTCATTTGTATTTAACTGGAAAGTAATTGTCCTTCAGACTGACTTCTGCATGACCAAAAATGTTTAATCATTTAATTTCTTTAAAGATCTGAAGACAATATATCTACTGTTTTGTCACTAATGGGAACATGTACCATTGATATTTGTCTTTAGTTTAGCTGACATATGGATTGGCATCCTATACCTTAAATCAGATAATTCTCTGAAAAATGTTCACCATCATCTGCTTAAATGATTGTTCGGTTACACAGCACAGAAAATGTGCTATTGACAATTAAGTAAACACTGACCATCCATTCTTTTTCTAACCTCTTTATCCAATACTGACTAAAAGTATCCAATATTGGATACTTTGTCATGGGGGACATTGCCAGAGCCTTTTCCAGGAAGCCTACTGATACAACTCCAGTCCATCACAGGACATAGACACACTTTCACACCAGAGCCAACTTTCCCAGAAGCCAATTAATTAACCTACCAGTATGTCTTTGGATTGGGGGAGCAAACCAAAGCACCTGGAGAAAACCCATGTGCAAACAGGGAGAACATACATACTCCATACAGACAGCACTCTGGGAATTGAACCATGGCCCCCAGCAATGTGAAGCAACAATGCTAACCACTACACTACTGTGTCGTCCACTATAAAAACACGCTATTTGTAATAAATTAATGAACAACATTTTTTCTATTACCAGGTGTCAATTCTTAATGTCCTAACCTTCTAAACTATTTCTTTAACTACTTCCAACTTCACTTTGTAGGGATGCAAGAAGTCACAGCACAGTTCAGTGTAGTGTCCAGACAGCAGAGAGTCACTGAAAGGCTGTCGTTCTCTTGGCTCTAAAACCCAGGCGAGTCTGAGAGGTTTTACACCTTGTACACAGCCAGCAGCCTCCTGTGTCAGACAGAGGGGCAGGCTTTGAAACATGGAGGAACTATATCTGACTGAATTCTACAACTGAATAATTCTGTTTAACTTTGGAGGCAGCTTCTGGGGCACCTTCAGAGCCCTCATTGTTCGGGCTTTGGATGGTACAATTCATCCTTGTCTTGTCTTTCATCCTTGTATTGATTCAGGGATGGAGTTCATGGATGTGAAAGTCTTTTGACTTTATATCATGTACTTTATGCACAATTGTGTCTTTGTACAGTTTAGTAATTGTTCTGAATGACAGTGAATTTGAAAGAAGGTATTAGCTGAATTCCTAATGGCTTGAGGGTCAATTGCAACTCACAATTAACTCAATTAGCTCAAGAACAATTAGCAATTAAAATCAATGACAAACTGCCTTCCTCTGTGGATATCCTTTATGGTTTTATTTTCATTTTATGGTACTTGAATCTTGAAACACTCAAAAATGTACTTTGTTCCTGAGCAACAGACATTTTTCCATTCATGTCATTTAGAATGATGCCACCTAGGAGGCTGCTCTCTGTCAAATATTGAAAAGGAGTTTCTGCTTTAAGGAGCTGAAAACAGACCAAGCTGAAGACTGACAGACAATGGACAATGCTGCAGTGGAAATTCTGGCTCTTGTTTTAGGGCTTGCTGGCATCTTTCTTTTAATCCTGGCGAATGAAATAGACTGCTGGAGGGTAAGAGACCCTGTTTCTAGGTCAAACCAGACATCCTTCCGAGCTCTGCTTTATGTTTGAGTACATCAGCACAAACAGGCCTGTTACTTCACTGTATTGCATGTCTTCTACAATACCATCCCACAAGTTGTGTTTACATTACTGTAAAATATTTTGAAACTGGCCTTGGAAAATATCTATTTCTACTCTGTCTAATTGTTTTTAATTTAAAAATACATAATCATAAATCAACAATGTTTTTGTGATAGCTTTGAATTTGGTATTTCAGAACATACAGTAAGAAAGGTTGTAAAGTAGAGGAGACTCAGCCCATCTAAACCATTTAGTGAATGGAGCCTAATTGTTAGCTTCTACCACATGGGTAGGCAGCTTGTTCCACACTCCCACAAGCCTTTGGATAAAGCAGAGCCTCCTGTTCCCACTTTGAAATGGACTTCCAGGTAGTTTCCCCTTTTGTCCTAAGATGTTTGTTCCACTGTTCATTCAGAAGAAATCTGACAGACTGCCTTTGTCAATGACTGAGAATTTTGAATACTTGAATCAGGTGCCCTGGTAGTCTTCTCTTTCTGGTACTAAGAAGGTTCTTTTTTATGCCTGTCTGGAATGATTCCAGAGCAGAAAAATATTTTTTGTAACATGATGACCAAAATTATACACAGTATTTTAAATGAGGCCTTACTAATACATTATACACCCCTTGATTTCAATTGAATTCTATGCTTTTAGCAATATAGTCTAACATTTTGTTTGCCTTTTTTATTGCTTGCCCACATTGGGAAATGCAAGAGATGTGTCAACATAAATACCTAGGTCTTTTTTCACAAGCAGCCGCTTCTAGCTCAGCATTTCCCAATTTGTATGTGTAGTTTTTATTTTTACTACCTGCATGGAGAACCCTGAGACACATCACGGATTATCTGAGAGACAACCATTTTCTTCACCAGACCCTATATGTAAAGGTAGAGACACACTTTTTATTAAATTATAAAATCATAATATTTAAAATGATTGAAGGGTTTGTGTTTGTCTTGACATATTTTGAAGATTCAGTCCCAGGAGAGCATCTGTGTCTATAGAACACAAGAAAAATTACAAACTGTAGCAGGAAGGTTGCAGGTTCAACTCCCACATGGAACACAGGTTCAGTAAAGCTTCACTCACATGGACAGTTTGTTACAAGATCTTCTTTCATAGGAAGCATGTTAAATTCTCTAATAAACCTCCCAGAATGATTATAGTTTTTGAAGAAGAGTACACTAGTAGACAGTGTTGTGCTGTGCACTCTTGTAGGACAGCTTGTTTTAGCCTCTGAACTGGTGGCCTTTATTTATGTGCGAAATATTGTGCATGTGGCTGTTGAATTATTACATAACAAAGTTATGGTTAGCTGGAAGGATGGTTGATTCATAAATGGGTGTTTTAATAACTAGCACAGTTGATTTGTTTCCTAAGTAGATATTTTCAATAATTGAGTACTGTATGTCATCTTTCTCAAGGAAGGAAACACAAATAATTCTGAAAAAAACAGCACTGTCATGTTTCCTTTGCCTAAGGATGTGAAACAGAGCTGCTGTTCTGACACAGCAGGCAGGCTCCTGTGGTCCTGCACGCACATTAAGTAAAAGATCAAAGCTTAGCACCAAAATGCCAAGCCCGTACCTCTCTGAGCCGTCTAGCTGCATTAGAGCTCTCCATGCTCTAAGTAGGGCTGGCTAGCACACTCTTTACACACGGAAAGGGCAGATCCTGTAAGTTCATGAGCCCTGGGCAGATCAAGGTATTGTTTATGGCCAAAGAGAACTTTGGGAGATTATTTCCAGAAAATACAATACCTCATTTGCTCCTCTGGGAATTATTTTCCCAGGAAAAATATACTGTATTTCCACAAAGATATATATTAAGGCATTAGGCTTAAAAATGTACATTAGCCTGCTATTTGATGTTTTGTATTGATCCAAATTATTGCAAAAAAACTACTAACCTATAAACTCTTTAAATTATGTTATCTGTACAGCAAACAATAGTAAGAACTACAGTAAAAAAAAATACATTTCAGTCATGTTGTCCATACAGAAACTACAGATATCTAAAGTAAACTTTTTTACCCTACTGTATAACAAAACAATTGTATGGACTTTCATGTGTACTGTGATGCACTTAGATGCATCATTGGTGATGTACAGTATCCTGAGGTCATGGGGTGTTTTGTCCAGCACGCTGTCGCCCTCTTCAGGGATTTCACTGCAAAGCCCCTGCAGCCCTGTTCAATAGACATGCACCTTGCCCTCCAGCCCCTTGATTGGCACTGCTCGTCCCGTGCGACTGGAAGCTCCAGCAAGATGGTTTGTTCAGATGTTTCAGACCACAGGGATGTCTCTGTGATAATGACTGGAAATGTCAGCCATCAGCTGCCTGTCTCATGCTGCGGCCAGGAGTCCTGTACTGATGCTGGATGCTGTTCTGCCCCTCCCCTGCCTTGACAAAAGCTGTGTCCTGCCTTGCTGGGTGAAGGCACTTGCAAAATCATCAGCAAAACTATTATGGCGATCTGCCAATTTCTTTCCTGGGGTACTGCACATGATGTTCTGGGGTATAGTATGTGACCTTACGCGGGGTTGTGGGCAGTGTGGAGGCGGTGCCCTGCAGGAAGGGTGATGCCTGGCCTTTGTAGTAACAGCTGTCCCAGTTCCTTGAAGATTAAGCACAGCTGTGCAGGTTCTACAGTATAAAGGTACACTCACTGGATAGCCCCAGAAGGGAAGTATCTTTTCACCGGCGGTCCAGGAGGGGATTGTAGCTGCGTATAGAGGAGTTAGTTTGCGCACGGTGACGTCATCGCCTACCAGCGCATAGCAGGGACCTCAGCTGCGTGGGTTGAGGGAGGACTCCTTTTGCTCATTCGGCGTGTTCCCTGTTACATTACACCGGAGACCCGGGTTTGTGCCCAGGTGTTGCAGGACGAACCGGCGAGGTGGAGAGCCGAGGGCACAAGCCTGCGCAGAACCGCAACAGTCACATGCGCAAAGCGTTCTTTTTCTTTTCTTTTTTTGTTTTCCCTGTCACGTATCCTCACCAGGGCAGGCACTCCTTTTTCACACACTGAGTTTTTGTTTTGTTTTTGCCTTCCGCGCCCTGCTGTACCAGACTGGACCCCGCTAAATAGGGTACGTCCTGTCTGGTCGCCGCTGTGCTAGCAGTTCTATTTTTTTCCCATGCTGGAACCCGTTAAATAGGGTAAACCCAGCCTGGAGGTCGCGATGCACAGCTGTACACCTTTCTTTTTGGCCTTTTGTTTCATTTTCACCCCTTCGTGTGTTATTTGCAGTCCCTGCTAATCCCACACCGGTGATACCGTCCCTCAATTAGGGATGTTGACTTTTTACCGGTGCTCGCCGTGGCTCTGCCTACTACACTGTTACGGGTAGTTTCTGAGATCAGTGACAATAGAGCATGACTATTAAAATACTTTATGATTTCTGACTTGGGTTGGTAAGTTTGGGATTTTCTGTCACTTTCTTTGACTGTTTCAATGTTTTGTTTCTGAAAATCACAGTGTGCTGTAAAAGCAGATAACCCGTATTATTTGTACCAGGGTTCTTTCTTTTTTCTTTCATTTTTTAGTCTTACAGTTTAGTCCCTATGAATTGGATTCAGATATTTATTCTTACTAATCATTTCTCTTCTTCGGCACAATGTAGGAAATCAATGAAAAACTAGGATATTATTTAACAAGCAGCATTTCAAATCAAGGGAAGTAATGATACATTTATAAGTGTACCTTGCAGACCTCTTTTAAATACTGTGTACAACTCTGGTCACCATATTATGAAAATTACATCGGTGCCCTGGAAACAGTCCCTAGAAAAGAGACCAGCTTTATTCATGGTCAAACAGGAAAGTTGAACACAGGTTAAAAAAACGTAACCTTTTCCAGTCTTGAGCAGACGAGGCTAAGAAAACACCCAGTACTTTTAACTCCTGAAAGGTATTGAAAAAAGCATTAATGATCCTATACATTAGTTAAGAATCCACAAGAAAAGAAAGATCCAAGAGCACATGTAAATTAAGAGTCAAGGATCTACAGTACAATACAAACCAATTCTTTACACATAGGGTGGTGTGTGTCTGCACAAGCTTCCCAGATACTGTGTGTCATTGAATACTGATTTAATCAGCTTGTTATAATAAAAAAATTTAGTAAATTAACTGATTGGCTTATTGTGGTACCATTTAAATACTTTTTCTTTCCATTGTTCACTTGTTATGCAAGTTGTTAACATCCACCCTTCAGTATTCAGTTTTTAGCAGGGTGTTATCGCTGAGGTTCCCTCATATTTGAAAGAGTGGGGATACTAACCCAATGTCTTGGTATAATTCCAGTTAAGTCTGACCTTTCAAATTCATCATGCTCTCAAGCAACACACTGCTTCCTCACTGAGCTGCTCGCCAGTGAGCAATGTAGTCTACTACTACAGAAGGAGCTGAAATGTAGTCAGTAAGGCAAGTCCCCCTCTTATCGCTTAAACACTTCAGGGCATATTGTAGTGTAAAACATTCTTCAAAAACAAGGTATCATCATGTGTTCTCCACACAACACTACCTGAGCAGAGCAGCTTATTTCCAGCGCTTGGAGTGGAGTGTCCAGAAAAGTGCTAAATAAGTGTAAGGAATTATTTCCTTTTCTGTGTTGTCTTATAGTTCTTTTGTTTCCAGCACGACGCAAAGGACCAGTTCTCATCAGTGGGCCTAAGTGTCAGGTGTCGGGGCCTGTGGAGTGAATGCGTCTTTGATAACACAGCAAACATGTGGACCTGTGACAGTCCCCTCTCGTTCCTGGGAGACCTGCCTGGTGAGCTGTTTGTCTGGAGCTAACTCTGGGACTATTCCCAGCGTCAGCTCCAGAGATGAGCTGGCAGCTTGAAGACAAGGCAGTTGTATTACTAAAAGGAGGATGTTTATAGTTAGGTGCAATATAAGGCAGTAAGGAAGATTTACAGTATATGATTTGTTATGGGTTACATTTTGAATGTGGCAGAAGTAAATATGCAATATGCTGTAAAAGGTCTGATGTGTAACACCACAGGCTGAACGCTGTGGTCATAATATTGGTGGTTTGAACGTGAACCACATTATCTGATTGTAACCAGGATCCCCCAAATGATGGCACACATTTGGACCAGTTAGATGGGGATTAGCTGGCCAAGGTTTCCTTAGCATTTGAAGTAAAGTAAGTCGTTCCTGGAATCTGCTGGGTGCCTGCAGGTTTGTAGTGATGAAGAGAGACATCAGTCTCACAATGGGCATGACCTAGTGTCCTCTAAAGCACTGTGCTGCTTCAGATGAAGAATAGCCCTGACAGAATGGCATGTCAGAAAGGCATATCTGCATGCTGTTCCTTTCTCCATGTTTACAGTAGTGGTGGTAGGGCATTAAGCTAAATATTAAACTGACAATTCTGAATCTGGGTGCTTAGAAAGTTACAAAAGCAGCACTGCTGACTTTGAGCACTTTCAATAGGTGAATAGTGCCAGAATTCACCGAACTTGAAATACAGTAGTTCCTTATCTCCTGAATAAGATATGTACAGATCCCCATGAACATATCTTTGCAAGAGGTTTGTGCATTTACATTAATTGATAATAAAAAACTTTGTTCACTTGACTATGACTTTAATTTTCTTAAGGTGAAATGCAATACATAGTGAGCTGGATTAGAAGATGGATTTAGAGTACATTCAGTTTTACTATGGGCATATCCTGTCTTGGGAGTCATCCGAGCCCTGTCCCAGGTATCTCATATGGGAGGATGGTATTTAAGCACAGTGTATGAAAATTGAATTATTTATTTCTGTACATAATCATACTATGATATTACCAATATCTGGAGAATATTTAATTAAACCACTTTTAATAACTTTTTTCTTGCATTGCAGCTCTAAATTGGAATTGTTAAATAAACTCAGATTTACAAAGACAGCTTTATCACCAACATGGAAGGTTGAGGACTGTGAATTCCCACAGAGGAGATAGGAAATTGGGGGTTACTGCAGCTCTTTTTACAAAACCTTTCCAGCCATGTCCTGGTAAAGGCCTCTGTGTGCTCAGACATTGATACAATCTACAAAATTTACTTTGGAGTAGTGCATTACTTTTACTTAACCAGGTTACTGGAGAACAAATCCTCAATTATGGCAGCGACACGCAGAGTGCCCATTCAGCTATCCACTCTTAGAAAGCTTCTTACTCCTGGTATTGTAAATATTATGATTACCCAGAGCCTACACTGGAAATATAATTAGTGTACAAGTCAGGACTAGACTGTAGATGTATAACCTGTCTGTCACAAGGCACAGATGTAGCAGAGCACACAGGGGCAATGTAGAAAGACCAATTAACCTAGCCTAAATTGTCTGGGAGTAGGTAGAAATATGATCTCACAGCCAAGAACCTGCAGACTCCAGTCATAAAGTATCTCCATCATGAAATGAAAATCTGTCTGGCTCCTGCCAATGCAACCAATGTGGTACTTACCCATCACCAAACCCCAGAGACTTCTGGCCACAGTCACCTAAGAACACATTAACAATGTATGGCTTATAGAGCTCAGCCCGTGCTCCAGTCTCCCATACTGGAGAAGTTTTATTTCCTCAATGTCCTGACAGTCTGTTTGAACATCATTTCCCTCTCTCTGTAGTGGAAATGGTTGTAACAAGGGCTGTGGTTGTAATAACCTGTACAGTCTGTATCTTGGCTATCCCGGGACTCATTTGTGGAATGAGGTGTACAAAGCTCATCAGTGACATCCAAAATCAGAAAGTCAAACTAATCCTGAGCTCCGGCATTCTCTTCCTCTTTGGAGGTGAGTATTGTAGCATTGCACTGACAATAGAATATTCTCATTGTGCTCAGAACACATTGGGATTCGTGTCCTTCGTGATTTGTTTTATGACACAAGTAAATGCACGGTTTAATTAATAACATAAGTTCTAACAAAAAAGAAACCTTGGGGCAAAAATGTAATCATCTGAAATGTAATTTAAGAGAATCTGGGGGTATTATTAAAAAATATTATATTGTAGTGGACTGCTTCTACTCTAAATTTACACTGATGTACAAACTCCTACGGCATTACGCTTCTTTATGCAGACACTACAGGGCTATCATCTGAATGTAATTGTTTCAAGTAAATAGTTTATCTCAATACATATTTATTTTGGGACAATAAAAAAAGTATTGTTTACCTTCACAGAGAGGAACAATTTATGTTAATGATGGAATACACCTGACAATGAGACAATTAGATGTGAAGGGTACAGTAGATGTAATTTATAAGCTACCATTAATCTTAACCATACATGAGCAGTTAATTTGTTCTTTGATTTGTTGCAAACAAGGTTTTGAAGATTCTGATAAACATGAATCAAAGACTGCTAAATTTCAAGCTTGGTTTCATCTCACTCAAACTAAGCTGTTTAAATACAGTTGCAATAAATAAACACTAGCAGACATTTTGTAGAAATTGTTGGTGCTCAGACCATACATTCACTAACTTCAAGTTGTGGCTTAGATGTTTAACACTTTCTCAGCAGTGTATATCTACTAATCTTTGCACAAATAGCACTTATAGGAAAAAGATGTGTGAGATCATACAGTATGTTATCAACATAATACATCATACAAACATACATTCACATTTGCATTTATTTAAAACAGTGGTTTTTAGGCTTCTATTCAATCCACTTCTAGGATAAAATGTTTGAGCAAGAAGTTTTGTGTTTTGTAATGATTAATGCTCCATGTAGAAACATCAGTATATTTGGGAGGGAAATTAAAAGTCTTAAAAATATGACAGCAAAACCCCATTAAATACAAGATTAGAAATCTTGGGTAGATAAATGATTTGCAGGACATAGTGCTTTCTGTTCCTTTAGGGCCCTTTAATTGATTAACAGGACAGCAATTAGGTTAGCACTGCTACCTCACAGCCTACAATCCTGGGGTCAATACAGGGGGGACCTGCATGGAGTTTATATCTACTTCCTTGTGTTCATGGGATACTTCAGCTGTGGCTGAAAAAACACTGGTCTGTTCATTTCATGGCCTTACAGAGAATGGAGAGATTTAAGTGCCTCTATCCCCTGAACAATCTTTAGAGTCCATGCAAAAAGAGTGCATTTACAACACTAAACCGTACAATTTGTTGTAGGTGTATCTGGTGCTGTTGGACTTCTCTGGTATGGTGCTGACACCTTGATCAAATACAGACAAGAGGTATGTATATAATCAGTCTAGTTTACTTCAATGATCATCATGGGTAGGCCTGATGAATGACATTCAGTGCTGAGCAAGCACTTATTTTAGGACTGGAGTCAGTTGTACAAAGATAAATTTGCATTACAGACCATATTCACAGACCTTTCAATCATCAAATTATGCATTTTGATGTGTAATATTATAAACAGTTACTATTTTGGATTTTAGTGTACTCACATCTTTGGTGTTTAATGTTAGCTAGAGATTAGGGTGGTTGGGGGAATTCTTCTTATATGGTGTTTTAAAAATACGTGATAATATCTGGCTACAACAGAAAATGCAATAAGCTTTTAAAATTTGAACTTTTAGAACAAGAAGTGCATGTTTTTTTTAATTTATAAAATGGTCAGTACTTAATGTTTAATGGCCATCAATGGTTATCAGCATAACCAGAAAAAAATATGAATTATAATGAAGACCTGAATAAACTTTAACTATCCTAAGTTAGAGAACCCTGAATTATTTATTTGTCATTGCTTTGCCTGAAAGTGATTTTGTCTAACAGGTTAAATTTGGAATTCCTGGGGTGACTTATGAGCTGGGCTTTTCCTACTGGCTGGCAGCAGGGGCAGTGGCCTGTATAGTGACTAGTGCAGTAACACTTCTGACACAGCACTGCATGGCTCAGAGGAAGGCAGACTTCAGGTCTGGACCCACGGTACTGCCTCTAAGCCATTGGAGTCATTTGAAATACCCAGGACACAGAACTGAAAATGGTCAAACATACATATAACGGGACATTGCTGGGCTACTCTTCATTCTGAAGACACTGTCAATTCTAGTAAGTGACATGGGAGTAAAGTGAATTACAAGGTGGGTTGCTTGAAAGAAACGTCCGCATACTGCTTTTGGAATATGCTTTTGTTTTTCCTTTTGTCTTTTTTTTAATTGCCCAATTGGCAATTTAATATTCTAATATTCTTAGTACTGCCATAGCTTTGAGAAAATCCTTTAAAAGCAAAAAAAGGTTGCCTGTGCAGCTACACATTATGCATGACCTGTGCTTCTATAATTATTTCTACTTCTGTGTATCTGTAAAATTCTATGCATACACAACACTCTGCAAAAAAAAAAAAGAGACACACTCTAACATTATGTCATGGCCAGTTATCAGTACCAAGGCATAGTTGCTCTCACAGATGAGAGGTGTCTAGAGAACAAATACATCCTACAGTATGTCACAGCTATGCAGATAACCAGACAGATATGAAGACAGAGGGCAAAAAGCAATTCTCTGAGGCCTCAGGCATGGCAGTGTCTGTTACAGAGACCCATCCCAAGCCAAACAGGATCAACCATATCAGCTGGATTTCAGCCAGAAAATGTAGTTCTGTTCTTACATCGCCTCTGCAACATCCAGCCCTCACAGTCAGATCAACAAGTCTAGTCTTTGCGATCAAAGGAAGTTACTGCATATAGAGAGCTAGGTACCCACAAATAGGGAGTTGGCATGCATATTTTTTTACAGTAGGCAATGGAATAAGTACTGTATGAGACGAAACTTGAAATATATGCTATCAAAGTGTACCAAACTGCCCACTGTCTTAAGCTGGTCATTATTAAAATACAATAACAGTGTCATAAGAATAGTTTCCCCCAGAAATAATGGGAAAACTAAACAAGAGAAGATTCTAAAGGTACAGGTTTGTCAGCTTTACCTTTTTGTTTTTAGAGAACTCAGCATCTTCTCATTTTGTTTCTGAATCCTTGGGGAAGCCTGTGGAAATCAGTCCGTCTGGTTAATATAGAAATAATCAGTTACAGTACTAACATGGGAGCTGTGCTCAATCAGTACTCCGCTAGCTTTGCTGTCATGTTCCCTCTTTTGCTGTGATGCTGAAACACAAGGGGAACTTGAAACCAGTTTTCTCTTTTACTGCACTGGATGTGTTGGGGGAAAAAAAAAAGTAAATGTGAGAAAGCATGTTAATTTCTCCACATGACAGACTGAATTATTGTAAACATCTACAATAGATTAGCATACAGTAGCTCTTGTAGCCGAAAGAAGAATTTTAATAGTAAAACCACTCCCTTATTAATATTATGAATCCTGTTGATAATAATACATTTCTCTATCCCTGTTTCTAAAAGCCCTTGTTACATGAGTTACTGCTTTGGATAGAACATCAATGAGTATCCTGCCATAACACTACAGCTACTAGACTCTGCCTTTGGTTGCTGTTATTTTCAAGGAAATGTCAGTTAATGGTCTAAATTCTACCAAACACTCACAGCAAGCAAAGGGATCAAAAACCATAAAAGCTGTATTCTTAGCTATGGGTTCCCTTATATATCTAACTAGCCTAAATTAACACCATGTGAGAAAGAGTCTCTCAAACTGTCACCAGTTGCCTAATTAATTGATTAATGCACCACATGTGAACCTATTTACAAATAGAGACCTTATTTAGCTTTAGTGGCAGAATTTACTACCCTCATTTCTGCTGGTACATCATGTCGCATACAGTATACAGAAACTACTGTAAGTGGATAGAACTTGCAAGCTATAACCTCTGGAATGGGATAGCCTTCCTGTGATCTATAAAACACAGCAGCATTTCAATGCAGAACCCACTCATGTAACAAGGGCCTAACATTAATGTTCAGTCTACCTTATGGCAGTTAAACATTTTTTGGTACAGAATTTCATTTGTAAATGGAAATGCCCAGTACATTTTGCTGTATTATTACAAGGTACTGTAACATCTCACACAATTTTCATCTTTATTTTGCCTTTATACTGCTCCAAAATCTTAATGACAGAGAGCTACACAATATGAGCTGGGAAGTTTATTTATTATTTTATCTTTTATTTAACCAGATACAATCGGAGCAATCTGAGTGAAGTAGAGTGCTCAATAGCACAACTGCAGTATTCCACCAGGAATTTAATCCACTCCCTTCCAACTGGGAGCACAGAGCCCT